GAGTGACTCAAATCTATCTCTATTAGAAGTCGTGAAAAATATTAAGAGCTTATGTGTAAGCGATAGTTTGAAAAGTAAATTTTTAAAAAATGTATGGTTAAAAATAGAAAAGAGTTGTGAAAAATAATTTTTTTCCAAAAAATTAATAATTAAAAATGAGTGTGAGTCATACATTCACCAAGTATTAACCTATTGTTAAGTACACAGAATATTAAAAGAAGAAGAAGATAGCCCAATGGACCCCACCACACCATGCGATCTGCAACAAATCTTTACAAGTGGACACGAAGAAAAATAACAATAACAAACGATCGTGCACATGCGATTTTTCACTTTATTAAATGAGGAAATTACAACATGTACATACAATATACACGTAGACATATGTACTATGTAGTAATTAAGACTACCGACACTTTCCCATGTTAAGAAATTCCCAAGAAAACATTACTTATGTGTCAACAATGTTTTGGAAAATAAGTCCGAGCATCAACCCAGAAAAAAAAGGTGAAAGTTCAATTGTTAAATCGTTATGATGGTAAGCAACTTCTTACTTTTTAACTTAAAAATTACCGAAACAATCTATCGATACATTTTAACAACACTGCTATTCATTTGAGTTTCCACCTAGGTCCTCTCGAACTAGACTTTACTCGACTAGATGTTAGCCGAGATAGTGTGAAGAAAAAATGATCGAGTCTAATTTAAATTATGATTGTGAGGCTTACCAAATCTCCAGCGACCTTGGACCAGAGCGACATCAGGATTGTGCATGAGAAAAGGGATTGAGCGTCGAAGAAAATCTGGTTCGGGCCGAAAATCTGCGTCGAAAATGACTACATATTCACATTCTTTGACATAGTCACGTTTCAACCCTTCTTTAAGAGCTCCAGCCTTGTAGCCTCCTCTTGTTTCCCTAATTTGATACCTAATGTTTAATCCCTTACTTGCCCACCTAATGCATTCTTTTTCAACCATATCCTAATACATTGATGAAGTGCCATTAATATCAAACTCAACAAAGAAATATGTTGTTGGATTTTTAAATAAGTTAACTATTTTGACGTCAATACAAAATTACTATGAAAATAAGCAGCCCTGTGTTTAGGGATTTCTGATTTACCTTGATCATAAGATCAGTGGAATCATCAAGTACTTGAATCACCATACGATCAGCTGGCCATGAAAGATTACATGCTGCACCAATGGAGATCTTATAAACCTGTCCAAGAAAAAACAAATCTCAGCGAGAAATTTCAAAATGCAAGCCATTCACCACGAAGTACGTTTGTGTACATCGTAATGCAACTAGATGACCACCAAATGTTTCTTAAAATGTCTGTGTGAAATTGTGTGCATAGAACTCAAACAAGAACTGATTAATTTGATCCGTCTACAGTAAAATTGCACATTGTGGAGCAGCATTCAACGAGATTAACCTTTTAAGATGAAACTCGAATAAATTCAAATACACGGACCTCTTTTTCATTGAACATGGGGATCTGAACAAGGACCATGGGGAACACTGCACTGCCGCTCTCCAAATCATCCTCCATTGCTTCCCATTTGTATCTTCTTTGGGGCTTTTTCCAGAAGAGCTTAACAAGAATGATAACAATCCCCATATAAAGCCTCTCAATGAACACCATGATTGACATGGCTAAGCATATGTATACAGCAATTCTCAGCAATGGAACTATCAATGGTGCTCTGATTAGCTCCCACAGCAGCCCAATTTGCCCAGCAATGTTGGCCGTCGCCCCCGGTAATGATTCAGGTATGAAACTCTTAGCAGAAACCTCAGCCATTTTTTTCTCCCTTCAAACAGAGGATTCACTGAAGAAAATTGG